CTATTGCTACTCGTAGCTTTCACAATCACCATGACTGCTTCGTTTATCAAATATAGTTTATATATAAAGCGTAGCAAGTGTATGTATGTGTGTGTGCATGTGTACATAATATATCACTTTTTTACACTTGTTTTTACAGTGCATAAAGACTTTTGGTGTTTTGCACTTCGCAAATTTAAAACCATTAAATCATATAATCACCATACAGGAATATTTAGCCATATACGGACTATATAATTATATTCCGAATCTAGCAACGATATTGAACTAAAAGATGTGTTGTTAGAACCTAATTTACAAAGGAGGCACACTAATAATCCCCATTTAAGGGACAAACAGGAATCACCACTACTTGATAATGTTTACAAAGTGTGAATTTTTAAAATCTCTATCAAATGAACGCACACAGAGACCATATCAGAAAAAAGGCAATTCCACGTTCCCATTCCACATGTCAAAAGCTAAAGAAAAACTCCAACTTACACAGAACACATAATAAATTCGTCCCACAAGCCTGTCAACACACTTATGGCTTTTCTAGTACACCTTAAAGACATCTCCAAACCGAGTTGCGGGGCTAAAAATGAAATCAACCGGCATGAATGACCAGCAGAATACGTTGATGAGACTTTAAGAGCCATTGACATAAAAAAATATACACTGGACTAAATACAGAGTTTGGGGAGCACATAAAAACAGCATAGCACAAAAGGAAGAATGACGATAGGCCTATATTAAGAAAGTTGTCAGCAGAGTAGAATAATTTCGTAAAAAAAATTAATTCGTTCTCAGAAGTAAAAAAACTCCTCAGATAAACTTCTGTCTCCAGAGATTCAGTAACCACCTGCTGCCATGTAACTACCCGCCCTCATTGGGCTAACCTGTTCACTGAACAAATAAGAATAATAGTAATAATAATAATTATAACATAATCTTCTTCACTGCACAGTTAGACGTTACTGCCTTGCTTTTTTGGATGATTTATCAAAAGCATTTCTGCCGTGCGCTACCACACTCCTGTTTAAAAGTCTTCAACATCCTTCTGCCAGTCCTTCAGTGGTCTACTCTTGGTCTCTTGTCCGCGAATCTACCTTCTATCAAATCTTCTTCTTCATGCAGTTGATGGGGTTGATATGTCAGAAAGTATTTTTTATTGGCTTTCGTGGTGTTTCCCATCTTTATTGTCATTTTCAATTATTTATACATATAATAATTATATTCTCAAATGTTATACACAATTGTTATTTTTATGTATTAGATTCAGATTAAAACATTTATTTCCATTTCCATTTAAAAAATAAAAGGAACATGGTGGCATCATGTAAAAAGCAACAACATGGTTGTAGCAATGATGGAATAAACAAAACGAAAAGAAAAAAGTAAAATGGAAAAATAAATCTTAGCAATATAAACGAGAAATAAATTTCCACATTAAAAACAATAATAACTGCTAATAAAATGCAACGAATTTAGTTTTTTCTCCCGGTGGGGGGGGGGGAAGCTCTCCTCGACCTGCCCCCCCCCCCGGATCCCCACTAGCGCCATCCCTGGACCAGTGTGAGCTGTATAAGAAGGATTTGAGATAATACGTATCGCTTTTTTTTTTTGGATCAGAGTTACCTTTTTGAGATTGACTGAAACGTATTACCCCAGAATTCATAACAATGCCAGAAATGAGGAAGGAAAAGTGAATTATATAATATAAGAAATACATTAACAGGAACCAAATGCTTGATTCTGTTTATAACTCCTATAGTCTTGCATAGTTTTGTCACAATTTCACTAATTACATATCTCTATGTTGATAGTCCGGCCATCTATGTACACACCAAGAAAGTTCGTTTTTTTCTACTCGTTGAACTTGGTCATTGTTAAGAAAGATTTTAAAACCAATTAATCCAGTTAACTTCTTTTTTATTGCTAAATTTAATGTAGCTGCATTGATTTAAATTCAGTGATAATCGATTGGCCTTGAAAATTCACATACGTAGTTCGTTGACAGTATGAAATAAGGCGGAAAGATCATTGTTACTATGAAAAATGTTTGTGTCATCAGCATATAAAACAAAAGTAAATCAAGAGAACCCTGTGGTACACCATATGTTATTCTTCTTTGTCCGAACAGTGCAGCTTCGTATTTATCACATTGAGATAGGTTAATGAAGATTGCTTTTGAAGCAATTCTCCGTGATACCAGGGATATCATAATGTCTTAACTTGGACAATAAGAGTTCATGATTAATCGGATCAAAAGGTTTTGACAGATCTAAAAAAAATACGCACGTCACCTTACATGTTTACATATACTGACATGCTTATATACATCATAATTAAATGATTGATAACATTAATATATCAGATTAATTAATTCTATCTAAGATTTAATTTTATTGCAATATTGTCTTTTTCACCCCATTCCCTAAGTAATATATAACACTTTTTTTATAAGGATTTTCCAGTGATGGAACCCGGCTTCCCCCAACAATTGAAGCAATCAGTCTTCTCCCCCATGCTTTTGTAAAGGGTAATAAATAATGCCCTGTGATTGGTCCGGTAGGATGATGCATGAGCAAGGTTCATGGCATCATGTTATGGGACAATCAAAAGTTAATTGCTATCGGAAGCAAGCATTAATCATGGAGATGCTATGCTTTTAATGCTCCTTACCTAACTTTATACATTGACAGAAAATATATGGTTTCTGTAAATTTAACATATTTCCTGATAAAGTGCATTTAATTTTATTTAGGCACGAGCGCCAAGGATACTGTATGCCAATCAGTGAACTTAATCACTATCTTACGTGGCATATCCATTTAACGACAGGGTACTGAAATCAGTAGACCAGGGTAACCCCCTTCTCTTCTCGAAGGATGTACTGTGTTCTTTAAAGTGCACAATAGCCAAATACGTACACTGGGCCTACGGTTTAAAGTCCTTATCCGAGAAGACTTGTTCCACCACCGGAACCATTGGAGAGTGAGCCGTTCTTAAATTCGCCCCGCAAGGTAGAAACTACCAGAGTCCAGCATAATAAAGTACCTGTGTGTAAACGTAGTATTGATGTCATCTCAACATCGATTTGACCAGTGGTTGCTGAGAATATGCAAATCTTGTAAAATAGGTCGAAAGGTCAACTAGGGCATTTCTGGCCTATTTTAAAGAAAATGTTTCATTAGAGTTTGTAGAAATATACATGTTCTAAACAATTTGAAAAAGGAAGCAACTCTCTACGACTAGCGTTTCCTAAGATATGAACGCCCTATTTGCCTTTGTCAAAGGTCAAACATGGAATTTCCATCCATTTTTGAAGAAAATTTTTTATTGGCGTCAACAGAACATGTTCTTAATTGAATAAGAGAACAACTATCTACGACCAGCGGTTGCCAAGATATAGAAACCCTAAAATGTTACTCTAATTTGCACATTTAAGCAAATTTGCATATGAATGAGACTTGACATCAAGGTGTGATTTCTGGCATATCATTACCTCATTATATATATTCATTAAATAAAAATAACTTTTCTTAGCATATTTTTTATTTTTATATAAGAACTGGTATTTTGGCGGCCATTGTGTTTTTGCTAATATCTCAATTTGCTCAATGGTGACCGACATCTAGTAAAATAAAATCATACTGATCGTCTTGACAATCAAAATCAACAAAAGAAAAGACTAAAAATAGGTTTGGTGAACAATTGGCATTTGGCTGCCATGCATTGAGAGACTACAGGATCAGTCAAAATAATCGCTAAAATACATTTTAGTGTTTCTAAAGTCAACATTTTACTCTGCTGTCTATGCAGACATCTTAACCAACTAGGCCAATAATGCTTTTTAGGGAATTCAAATTCATTGCCGTTACACAGTATTACAGTATAATGATAAATTATAAATTGTCTTGCAGTAATGCTATAAATATATACTATAAATATGTTTTAAACGTTAATGAAGAGGAATCTGCTACTGTAAAAAACAAGTGCCACCGGGATTCGAACTCTGCTGTCTGCGGTTGAGGCATCTAATGCTTCACACTCATGCACATGCGTAGTTAGACAACACTAGTCCTTGATGCATGGCAAATAACAGAAATCAATAATGGTATGCCCTCTTCTTATAAGCATTTGATGAATAGACTAGATCTCCGAAAAAATGTTTTTTTTTAATTATAAATAAATCATATGATGATGGAGATAAACACAGCATTGCAGTATAATGATAAACTCTAAGTCGTCTTGCGGTAATAATTCAATTCAATTCAATTCATTCAACAAATACCCTCAAGATGGGGAAGGTAAAAATATATAAAATACAATAAAACTTCACAATACAATATTAATAAAA